CAAAAAAAAAAAAAAAAAAAAAAAAAAAAAAAGAAAACCTGGAAATATTATTTAATGTCAATATCAAAGAGGAAAGAAAATGTCCATTAGTAGTGTATTGAAAGTTGGGGGGAAAACACTAACAGGAATTTCCTTTGTAGGTCCTAGGACATGAAAATGAAAATATTAAAATTTAAAAAATAAATAGAAAATATAGAACATGGCTTCAACTGGCAATAGTTTCCCGGCGTAACTACCATGTGGACATCAATCAGCCCAGTGCTTACCTTAGAGGTGGCATCTTTTAAGTTGATAACACCAGACTCAATCATTTCATGGTACAAATCATTGCCTTCACGGGTCCTCTCACCAACACCAGCAAACACAGAGTAACCACCATGGGCTTTGGCAACATTGTTGATTAACTCCATGATCAGTACAGTCTTGCCAACTCCAGCACCACCAAAAAGCCCTATAAGAGGTTGAAAAGAAAGAATATTTAAGAGTTCTGCTTTCCCAAATAAGCAAACTTCAAAAAAACGAATTGCTTCCTTCCACCCTATTCCTTCTCAAAAATGGCATCTGGCTTCAGCAAACTCAGAAGAACGAATGTCAGAACGTTCTCTCAATGAGGAATAGATGTCAATACCCACTCATAACATTGTATGAGTTTTTCCCCCCACATTAGGTTTGGAAAATATGTACTCTTAACTAACGTACCAATTTTGCCACCCTTGGCATAGGGAGCTAGCAGATCCACAACCTTGATACCAGTCACCAGAATTTCCTGCTCAACACTCATTTCCATGAATTCCGGAGCCTCAGCATGAATGGGAGCAAATCTGTAAAGGCAGAAGAGAGAGGGCTGGTATCTATTCACCTTGTTGAAAGCAAATGATAATCTTATATATCCCTATAACTCTCAAGTCCATCCCTTTACTTGATGAACCACAGTCTTATTTCCCCTCTGTTATATAAATTAGATAAACTATCTTCCAGGATCTAACTCAACTTTTTGCAATAAAGAAAGTCATTATCTTAGGAAACAGTAATCCCATTCCCTGACTTTAACTGCCATAAATTTTTCATTTTACTGAGCTTTAATCTAACAGCATTCCCTCACGTAGCAACAGAAAATGCAAAAACCTGCAAGTTTTGGTTTAGACTAAGCAGTAAGACTGGTCTTAAAAATACTCAGCTGGGCCGGGCGCGGTGGCTCAAGCCTGTAATCCCAGCACTTTGGGAGGCCGAGGCGGGTGGATCACAAGGTCAAGAGATCAAGACCATCCTGGTCAACATGGTGAAACCCCGTCTCTACTAAAACTACAAAAAATAAGCTGGGCATGGTGACGCATGCCTGTAGTCCCAGCTACTCAGGAGGCTGAGGCAGGAGAATTGCGAACCCAGGAGGCGGAGGTTGCGGTGAGTTGAGATTGGGCCACTGCACTCCAGCCATCCGTCTCAAAAAAAAAAAAAAATACTCAGCTAAAGGCCAGGCGCGGTGGGCCACACCTATAATCCCAGCACTTTGGAAGGCCAAGGGGGAAGAATCACAGATCAGGAGTTTGAGACCAGCCTGGCCAACCTGGTGAAACCCCATTTCTACTAAAAATACAAAATTAGCCAGGCATAGTGGCACATGCCTGCAATCCCAGCTACTCGGGAAGCTGAGGCAGGAAAATAGCTGGAAACTGGGAGGCGGAGACTGCAGTGAGTGAGATCACACCATTACACTCCAGCCTGGGCAACAAGAACTCCGACGCACACACACCCCCCCCCCCCCCCCCCCAGAATGCTAAGTAATAGGTTCTTCTCAATCAGAAATTCTTCGTCCTAATTTCTTCAGGAGAAATTGCACTGTGTGATTTTAATAATCGAACGTATCAGAAGAAAAATTCTGCTTTATGAGAAAGTGTCACCTTGATGTGTAAAACTGCAAATAACAGAAGTTCTTTTGTGAATAGATACAATAAAAGCAACTTACTGTTTGGTTTTGATGGGACCTCTTTCATCAATAGGTTCTCCAATGACATTCATGATTCTGCCCAAAGTCTCAGGACCAACAGGAATTTTGATTGGTGCACCAGAATCCAGTACTTTCTGGCCTCTAACCAAGCCTTCTGTACCATCCATAGCAATGGTCCTTACTGTGCTCTCACCTGTTAAATACAGGCATTGCAGGGTTATACATAAGGATAATTCGGTATTAAGACCTAAATCAACCAAGACTCCTTCTCAGTACCTAAATGTGGCTTCAGCAAACTCAGAAGAACGAAAGTCACTTTGATAAAATCATCACAGAAGGGAGACAAGGTTTTTGGGATATTTGGGCCACACAAGGTCTTTACCATTCCTAGCAAATTCTACTTACCCAAATGCTGGGCCACCTCCAAAACCAGTCTGGTCTCCCTGCCTTGCACTTCCAGGGCATTTAGGATCGGTGGTAGTCCCTCATCAAACTGGACGTCCACCACTGCGCCAATGACCGCCACGATGCGCCCGGTGGCGGCGCCTGCCTTAGGTGAAGGAGATGTTTGCGCCGCATAGTCTCTGACTAACAGACAAAAGATATTGGAAGGACCTGGAGTCAGGCCAGTTAAGGGCCATCAGAAGCAAAGACTTAACACACAAGGAGAGGAAAACTCAGCCGAAGAAGTGAGGCCTCTTTCCGCCTGTACGAACGGCGTGTCCAAGAGGAAAGGCCGCGCAGCGACGGATAAAGCGCCTGCACGGCCTTCCCAGGAGCAAACGCAAAACCCCATTTTTCGAGAGCTCAGTCAGTAACCACATTCAATGGTAAGGTCAATGCACCTGCCCGCACCTTTTCCGTCACACAAGAACTTTTTATACAAAATAGAACAGAGCTAGGTCCAAGAAACCTCCTACGGGTGTCCCATTCTTGTTCTCCCGCCATTAGAGAGCAAGACGCGCGGCTCCAGGCATCCATTTAGCACCACTGAACCCTTAGGCCCGAGCTACTATCGTTACCCGGCTCAAGGTCATGCAGCAGCAAAATGGAACGCAGCTCCTAGAGAAAAGTACTTACCAGAATAGACCGCCGTTGGAGTGGCCCGCAGTAAGAGCTGCGCTGGGGGTAGCGACGCTGAAGGGCTGAGTCCCCGCAAGGCCCCGGAGGCCGAGGTAGCGGCCACACGACCCACAAAACCCAACATGGCGGAGTCCGGGTGGAGAGTGAGCGCTGCAGCAAACCCCACCGCCTCCTTCCCTGCAGTTGGGGCGAGGCCTACGCTGCTGTAGGCAGGTCCATTGGATGAATTGGCTGCTCATCATTCTCAGTGCTGCTTCTATAGGTTAATACATGCTCATCTTCTCATCCATTGGTCAAAACTAGTGCTAATCTGACGCTCCTGTTTTTATTGGACAGTGTGAGATTAAAGGGCGACACTCTGAGCCTCGAAACCTAATTGGACCTTAGCGACGTCAGTTGGAGAGAATATTCTGAGGAACTACCTTTAGGAAAGGGGCCAAGTTCCTGTTGAAAGTGCGTGCGCTGTCTTTGCCTGTCCTTGGGCTCTATCCTTGAGCTAGGTGACAGCCACAGGGACGGGGGTTAGGGAAGTGGTGGCGCCGTGAAGCACCACTGAAGGTGAGCCTGGCGAAGTCAGGAGCCGTCTTTAGAGCCAAAACACGGTTTCTCACTCGAAGTAGTGAGATTGGAAGCTCCCAGGCGATTGAACATATCAGCAACCTAGACAGGCTCTTTATCATTTCAACCTACAAAGTGAAGGAAACTAATGTAACCAGTTCCTTAACTGGGCATTGAGAAGACTGAAAAATAAGATAAATAAGACTAAGGACCTTCCTTTTAAGGTCCAGGTGAGCAGACAATGCAATAATGCGATGGTTCTTGGTTAGTATAAACTGGATGCAGGAAGAGGAGGGGATAAATTTGGGTCACCTAGAGACATAGAATTGTCCACTGTGTGGAAAGTTGATAGACCTCAGCTATGAAATGTGAATAGAAACTCTTAGGATAGGCCGGGCCCAGTGGCTCACGCCTGTAATCCCAGCACTTTGGGAGGCTGAGGCGGGCAGATCACCTGAGGTCAGGAATTCAAGACCAGCCTGGCCAACATGGCGAAACCCCGTCTCTACCAAAAATACAAAACGTAACCGGGCGTGATGGCAGTCACCTCTAATCCCAGCTACTCCGGAGGCCGAAGCAGGAGAATCTCTTGAACTGGGAGGCAAAGGTTACAGTGAGCCAAGATCGCGCCACTGCACTCCAGCCTGGGCAAGAGTGAGACTCCATCTCAAAAAACAAAATAAATCTGTAAAATAAAATAATAAGTGAAAAGGACTGGGATAGGCATGGCGGCTCATCCTGTAATCCCAGCACTTTGGGAAGTCGAGGTGGGCAGATCACTTAAACTCAGGAGTTCGATACCAGCTTGGGCTTCATGGTTAAACCTCATATCTAAAAAATGTGTTTAAAAAAATACAGGCCGGGCGTGGTGGCTCAAGCCTGTAATCCCAGCACTTTGGGAGGCCGAGGCGGGTGGATCACGAGGTCAAGAGATCGAGACCATCCTGCTCAACAAGGTGAAACCCCGTCTCTACTAAAACTACCAAAAATTAGCTGGGCATGGTGGCGCGTGCCTGTAATCCCAGCTACTCAGGAGGCTGAGGCAGGAGAATTGCCTGAACCCAGGAGGCGGAGGTTGCGGTGAGCCGAGATCGTGCCATTGCACTCCAGTCTGGGTAACAGGAGCGAAACTCCGTCTCAAAAAAAAAAATAAAAATAAAAAAAATAAAAAAATACAAAAAAAAATTAGGCCGGACGCAGTGGCTCACACCTGTAATCCCAGCACTTTGGGAGGCTGAGGCGGGCAGATCACGAGGTCAGGAGTTCGAGACCAGCCTGACCAACATGGTGTAACCCCGCCTCTACTAAAAATACAAAAATAAGCCGGGCATGGTGGCACACACACGCCTATAATCCCAGCTACTCAGGAGGCTAAGGCAGGAGAATCGCTTGAACCCGGAAGGCAGAGGTTGCAGTGAGCCAAGATGGCTCCACTGCACTCCAGCCTGGGCTAGAGAGCAAGACGCTGTCTCAAAACAAATTAGCCAGGTGTGGCATGTGCCTGCAGTCCCAGCTACTGGGGAAGTTGAGATAGGAGGATGGTTTGAGCCCAGGAGGTTGCAGAGGACTAAGACTGTGACACTGCCCTCCACACCGGGTGACATAGTGAGATCCTGGCTCTACAAAAAAAAAAGAAAGAAAATAAAAACCAGCTGCGGTAGTTCGCACCTGTAATCCCAGCATTTCGGTAGGCTGAGGCAGGTGGATCATGGGTTCAGGAGATCAAGACCATCCTGGCCAACACCTTGAAACCCTCATCTCTACTAAAAATACAAAAATTAGCCAGGCGTAGTGATGCATGCCTGTAATCCCAGCTACTTGAAAGGCTGAGACAGGAAAATCATTTGAACCCAGAAGGCGGAGGTTGTGGTGAGCCGAGTTCTTACCGTTGCACTCCAGCCTGGGCAACATAATAAGACCCAATCTCGAAAAAAAAAAAAAAAAAAAAAGAGATAATTTTATATAAAAGCCAAGAAGGTCCAAGACTTCCTCCTCCTCCCACCTTTCCAGCAAGACTTAATCTGATTTGAGAACTTTGGTTTTGTATCACCAGTTTTGGTCTTGGCAAAATTAAAGTTTTATTAACCATCAAACACATTATCCTGACATTTCTTTTCTTTCTTTTTTTTTTTTTTTTTTTTTATGAGATGGAGTATCAATCTTATTGCCCATGCTGGAGTGCAATGGTGCAATCTCGGCTCACTGAAACCTCTGCCTCCCAGGTTCAAGTGATTATCTTGCCTCAACCTCCTGAGTAGCTGGGACTACAGGTGCTGGCCACCACGCCCAGCTAATTTTTTTGTATTTTTAGTAGAGACAGGGTTTCACCATGTAGGCCAGGCTGGTCTCAGACTCCTGATCTCGGGTGATCCATCCACCTCAGCCTCCCAGAGTGTTTGGATTACAGGCATAAGCCACCCCCAGCCTACTCTGACATTTCTTAATCAGTTTCTAAGAAAAATATTCACATACAAGGTAACTGAAGATCATCACTTTTTGAAATGCATCACACATTTATTTGTCCTCTTAGCAAATTACCAAGCAATTTTTTTTTTTTTTTTTTTTTTGAGACGGAGTTTCACTCGTGTTACCCAGGCTGGAGTGCAATGGCGCGATCTCGGCTCACCACAACCTCTGCCTCCTGGGTTCAGGCAATTCTCCTGCCTCAGCCTCCTGAGTAGCTGGGATTACAGGCACGCGCCACCATGCCCAGCTAATTTTTTGTATTTTTAGTAGAGACGGGGTTTCACCATGTTGACCAGGATGGTCTCGATCTCTTGACCTCGTGATCCACCCGCCTCGGCCTCCCAAAGTGCTGGGATTACAAGCTTGAGCCACCGCGCCCGGCCAATTTTTTTTTTTGAGATGGAGTTTTGCTCTTGTTGTCCAGGCTGGAGTGCAATGGCTCTATTCGGCTCATGGCAACCTCTGCCTCCCTGTTCAAGTGATTCTCCTGCTTCAGCCTCCCAAGTAGCTGGGATTACAGATATATGCCACTGTGCCTGACAAACTTTTGTATTTTTAGTAGAGACAGGGTTTCACCATGTTGGCCAGGCAAGTCTCCAACTTCTGACCTCAGGCGATCTGCCCACCTTGGACTCACAAAGTGCTGGGATTACAGGCATGAACCACCGTGCCCAGCCACAAATTACCAAGTAATTTACATTTTTGGGGTATTAGGGTTATTCATTAAACAAACCATCACATTGGAATTCGGCCAGGCGCGGTGGCTCAAGCCTGTAATCCCAGCACTTTGGGAGGCCGAGGCGGGTGGATCACGAGGTCAAGAGATCGAGACCATCCTGGTCAACATGGTGAAACCCCGTCTCTACTAAAAATACAAAAAATTAGCTGGGCATGGTGGTGCGTGCCTGTAATCCCAGCTACTCAGGAGGCTGAGACAGGAGAATTGCCTGAGCCCAGGAGGCGGAGGTTGCGGTGAGCCGAGATCGCGCCATTGCACTCCAGCCTGGGTA